CCCCCCCCCCCCCCCAATTTATTATAACCATTACCGGCGTGTCATTCATTCATTACAAAACAAAATTACCATATGATCTCTCCCATCTTCTTTGTCACTTAATTATATATTTCGTCACTTTTATTATTTGATCCTCCTTTAAAAATCTCATGTACGGTTGGATGAGTGTATCAGTGGCTTCGCCACGTGGCAGGTGATTATTGGGGGTGGGTGTTGGTGAAAGATCACAGGAACTCCGTTGGTTACTCAACAAAGTACAACACTAATATTATCAGGCTGATGTAAATGTAATTTTGGTTATTAAGAAAAAAGAGAAGGGGCAAGAATTAGTGTGCAAAAGGAGGGGCGAGAGAGACAGCGTCGACACAAGACAGTGACAGCTGGTTTCTCTGTTAAATATTTTCTTCCCAAAAAAATTAATATTCGTCGCCACTTGCCATAAATAATAAACCCAAAACCCAAAGAAAAAAAAATCAATGTTTCCTTCGCATTTCTATTTTCTACTATGGCTTTTTTTTATTTTATTAAAAATCTCTCTCTCTCTTTCTCTCTCTGATTCTATCAGCCTGTGCCAAGAAACCTGTGTAGCGAGCGCCACGAGCTGAGAGGAGAAGAAAAGGGAAGGTGTGAAGAGCGCACGGGAGCGGCACACGGTAGCTCTCCGCTTCTTATCCTGCGCTTCCTTCGCCGTCTCACCGGAGTCTTCTTCCTAACGCTCTCGCATTTCTCCCCCAAAGGAAAGTTTCCCAGGAAAATCCGATTCGTTCTTCCCTCATTGCGTTTGTTTCCCTTTTTCGCATTTTGGCTTCCCGAATAACTCTGGCGGACTGGTCGTTTCTCGTCGGTTGGGAATTGTTTCGACGATTCGGATTCGCATTTGAAGAAGAAGAAGACGACGAAGGAGAGGAAGAAGTGGATTTATCGACCGTTTCACGATGCTTTGGATTATGAGATTATCCTGCTTATTCTCCGCCGCGTTGACGGTGATCGTCCTTTCTCCATCATTCCAGTCATTCCCTCCGGCGGAGGCCATCCGATCATCGCATCTCGACGCTTATCTCCGACCACCGCCTCCGGTGCATCACTCCTCATACCGTTTCTCCTTCAGAAAATCGCCGGTGTTCCGCAATGCCGATGACTGTGGCTCCTCCGGCGCCGATTCTGGCGTCTGCGACCCCTCACTGGTCCACGTCGCGATCACTCTCGACGTTGAGTACCTCCGTGGCTCAATCGCCGCGGTGCATTCCATTCTCCAGCATTCATTGTGCCCTGAGAGCGTCTTCTTCCATTTCGTCGTCTCCGAGACAAACCTAGAGCCTCTGGTTCGTTCGACTTTCCCGGAATTGAAGTTCGAAATTTACTATTTCGCTCCCGAGACCGTGCGGGACCTGATTTCTTCCTCCGTGAGGCAAGCGCTTGAGCAGCCGCTGAATTACGCCAGAAATTATCTGGCGGATCTGCTTGAGCCCTGCGTCAAAAGAGTCATCTACTTGGATTCGGATCTCGTCGTCGTCGACGATATCGCGAAGCTCTGGAGAACGAGTCTGGGCCCGAGAACAATCGGAGCCCCGGAATACTGCCACGCGAATTTCACCAAGTACTTCACCGGGATTTTCTGGTCGGACGAGCGGTTTTCCGGAACGTTCAAAGGGAGAAACCCCTGCTACTTCAACACGGGAGTAATGGTGTTGGATCTGGAGAAGTGGAGGCGGGACGGGTACACGAAACGGATCGAGAAATGGATGGAGATCCAGAAGGGCGAGCGGATTTATGAGCTGGGTTCGCTACCGCCGTTCCTTTTGGTCTTCGCCGGACACGTGGCGCCAATCTCTCACCGGTGGAACCAGCACGGGCTCGGCGGGGACAATGTCAGAGGTAGCTGTCGGGATTTGCATCCCGGTCCGGTGAGTTTGCTTCATTGGTCCGGTAGTGGCAAGCCGTGGTTAAGGGTCGACTCGAAGCGGCCGTGTCCGTTGGACGCGCTTTGGGCGCCTTACGACTTGTACCGACACTCGCATTGACACCGACTCAGGCTGGGTTTTCGTTGCCGGTAAGTCTCTATAGAACTCTGTTTTTGCGATTCATTCAAAATTATTTTTTTGTCGCTTATATTTGTGCATTAGTTTCTTAAACTTTTGTGTTTCTTCATCATTAGTTGAACCACTGGCCGGTGGCCACCGACTTAGTTTGTTCAAACCTGCTCTTCTTGTCTGTTCTTTGAATTCTTTAGCTCTTATGTTATCTCATGAAGATGAGACTAACTTTTGATAACCACGCACTCTTCCATTGGTTCTGAATTGGATCATTATCCATGCAAGCAATAGATTCTGTAGTTGGCATTTCTCTTTGAGCACATGTGAAGCCTGCGCTTTTGTGGGTATGGCTTTATATGTGCTCATTTTTGTTGGCCTTTAAGTGGAGAGGTGGCATCAGAACCAAGGAAAAGATGCCAACTTTATAATAATCTGCTTTTGCAAATGGTGAAATAGTATCCTCTTTGAGGTCCAGGAGGTGCTGCTCTATTTGTTCTTTTCAGGGATGCCCAATTTTTCATTCCATTTCCGCGTTTGCCCGTTGGAAGAACTAGATACTGTTGCCACCAACTGTAGTGCCTTTGCTTGTCTTGTTACTACCATTGTTGGAATGTCGGTAGATATGGAATAGTGCTAGTGGTTTAGTGGTAGGGCACCTTTCTCACTTCGACCAGTTCATGTCTCTCATTATCAGAGAAAAACAGGTAACCTGTACTGGACTTGATGCATGTTTAGCTCACATGGGAACCTAGAATTCACAGCACTTAAATGGAATTTGCTGGTGTTTGGGATCTTTTGAGCTCAAATAGGGGAAAAAAATTGAGAGCTGAACTTGTAGCTGTTAAGTCTTAGTGTAATGCTCCCTTTATATCTATTTTTGGCCAATGACCTCCATTACTGGTGCAGGGTTTGTTCATAAACAGATGGATAGGAAGTAGACGAAGTGGCAGTGGCAAGGGGGCATTGCTTGTAGTAATCGTGTTTAGATAGTTCAAACATGTTTACCAAAAATGGAGAAGGGGGTGAGGGGAGGGAGGAGACGTGTGTATATATCATAATGATAGATACATAGATAGAGAGAGATGCATGATGATCGTAGCATCACAGCTGTGTTGTGAGAGAAGTCTTTTTAAGCTTTGAGACATTCAAACTCTGTCTCTGTTTCTGTCTGGTATCAAAAACGTGGGACCCCACGTCTCTTTTGTTGTTTATAAAAATGTCCAAAAGCCAACCAGAGAAGGGAGGAGGGGACCGATTCCGAGGTGGGTCCAGTGATCTCTCGCAAAATCCTGTTGCTTGATCCAGCTGCTAACGTGTGGTTAGCCATCCAGTCACTGGATTCAATGGATCCATTGTTTTTTCTTTCTTCTAATAAGATAGAATGCCGTGAAAAAAATCAGCTTCTGCTCCATAAACTGGTTCTGCATTCGGTGGGGCCAACATTGCCTGCAAATCAAAGAATCTCTAACTAAACATCACACTTCTATCCATGAGAAATTCCAAAACTTTACCAATTAAACAATGGAGTTAACAACGGTACCTGGATTATTCCTGCATGATCTCCTCGGGAATGATCGGTCTCTCCAGAAGCCCAAGTTCCGGGCCAGTGAGACCCATCTGACATCCAAGTGGCCTTTGGCACTTTAACAGGTTCTGCAAGATTGCCTCCCATCTCCATCTGTTTCTTCTGAAAGACAAAACACAAAAGCATTTGCTTTTTCCTTTGGGGTTCTTATGATGTGGCGGATGTTGCTCTGTTTGTGTCGGTGGTATTATATCCATCACGTTTTTCTTTCTGAATTTTATTTTTTGTTTGGATGATATTCGAACCAGATTACTAATGTTTTGTTTTTTTTAACCAGATGATCATTGCCACGAGCAAAGGATTAGAGAGGAGGAACATATAAGATCCCGACCGAATGCTTCTGCCGATGATGTCGCGGAGGAGGAAGAAGAAAGCTCTGAGCGGCAAGTAAATATGGGGATGGGATCGGATGTTGTACGGAACCCGAGAGACACGATTTGGATGTTTGGGAATTATTTTTTTTTGGTGACCGGAGGTTGGATCATTTTTGTTCTTCTGTAACGTTTGGTGGAAGTCAGAGAGTTAGGTTATTCATGTGGATGCCATTTTTGCTGTTTATTGTTTTGTTTTTTTAAAAAAAAAATCAGATGCATTGTATGTGCAAGCAGATGATACTTGTTACACGTGCTAATTGTCTCCCAAGTTCATCTCTGCTATTTATTCTAATTCTCCGGAATGTTCGTGTAAAAAAAACATTAATGAAACGAGCAAGAAGAGAAATTCAATTACAAAATATAAGAGAGCTACACAAATCGTGAAGCCGAGAAGAAGCTTCATTACCCTTTGACTTGGGTCGCAAGCAAGCAATCACACCTAACCTACCCTTGAAGCAGAAGCAAACAGCCAAAACCCCTCTAAGGGAACTGAAACCTCGTGTATTCCTCTCTTCCAGACGGAGGGTTAATGTAAACCCAGAGCAAGGACACGATGATCGACAACAAACCAGACCACACAAACACAATGGTCGGAACTTTCCCCCTTCTTCCCATCAATCCTTTGGCAAACGGATAGAGATGGCAGAGGACCCAGAAACTGAAGAACACTCCTCCGACAAGCTTGCTCCACTGTGGAAATGGACTGTACAGTGTTCTGGCTACGCCCACTGCTATGGCTATCAGATTCACCATCATGATTGTGATGGGGGGGACCATCAGAAAGCTCCACTTCACCACGTAAAGATCCGCAAACTCGTCGTCTCCATCTTCTGGCGTGGCTGATTTGGAGGTCAATGTGAACGAGATGTCTACTCCGGCTATCACTTTGAGAAGGCCTTGAAGAACTGCTGCAGGATGTGCGCTTGTCCCTCCGATCAACCAGAACTGCTCGTTTCTCCACCACTCATGGAGTGTAATGCTTGACCATTTGATCTCGAGGAGGGCCAGCATGCACAATGTGAGGGTTATCGCCAACAGGAAGATCAAGAACGTTATGTCCAGTGATTGGACGATGAAATGGCCCGAGAAGAGGGATACTGCTGGCAGAATGCAGTAAACGATGAGGAAAAGGGAGGTGAAGGGGTACATCCCGACGTTGAAGTATGCCACTCTTTGCAAGAACTTCATCCTCGGGCTTGCAAACAAAGCATTGTTCCTCGAGAAAAAGATCTCCACAGACCCAGTTGCCCATCTGAGAACCTGATGGAGTCTATCTGTCAAATTGATCGGAGCAGTTCCACGAAATGCATCCCTTTTGGTGACACAGTAGATAGATCTCCATCCTCTGTTGTGCATACGGTAGCCTGTGACCACATCTTCTGTTACAGATCCATAAATCCATCCAACCCTTTTGCCCCACTCGGTTTTGTCCTCATAGAAACAGGAAATCACACTGATAGCTTCAGAGACGGTGGCTGCATCGAGGGGTTCACGTGGGACAGCAAGAGATCCAGCTGGTCTGCTGTTCTTGCCCTTTCCCTGCAAGTCCTGTAGAAGCCTGCCTTGGTATTCAGCAACAGGGATAGAAGCAACAAAGGAATTAGAGTTACCGAATCTTTTTGGGAGAAGCAAAGATTCGATATCTCCATCATCGTCTTCCTCGTTGAATTCTCCATTTATAGGCAGGGCAACCTCATCATCTTTCTTCGCAGCCTTTGGTTTTCTCAGAGACAGCTTGACCTTTTTCTTACCGAACCAGCCATGGTGTTCAGTCGCTCTTGGTGGGCTAAACCCGTAAAGAGCTGTCCTGCGAAATATACAGCCAGTTCCTACGTACATCGGACCTTGTAACCCATCAAGTGCCCTCATACTGACATCAAAGAACACTGTGTTATGGTTAGCATAGCGGTCATTTGGGTCGATACCTTCAAATCTCTGTGGAAACTGGACGTAACAGATTCTATCGCCACCGCGGTCAAGCATAAAGCACATTCCTTCCCTCAAAGCCACGGAATTGTAGATGTAGTGGTCGCAGTCAAGATTGAGGATGAATGGCCCATTTGACATAATGGCGCTGGTTCTTACTAAAGCGTTCATGGCTCCTGCTTTCTTGTTGTGATCATAACCAGGTCGCTTCTCTCTGGACACATAAACCAGCATTGGCAGTCTGATGTCAACTTCAGTTGTCTCAATTAGGTTGTCAGAATCAGCTTCTGCTCCATAAACTGGTTCTGCATTCGGTGGGGCCAACATTGCCTGCAAATCAAAGAATCTCTAACTAAACATCACACTTCTATCCATGAGAAATTCCAAAACTTTACCAATTAAACAATGGAGTTAACAACGGTACCTGGATTATTCCTGCATGATCTCCTCGGGAATGATCGGTCTCTCCAGAAGCCCAAGTTCCGGGCCAGTGAGACCCATCTGACATCCAAGTGGCCTTTGGCACTTTAACAGGTTCTGCAAGATTGCCTCCCATCTCCATCTGTTTCTTCTTAGCCCTCAGCTCTTCATGTGCATTATAAGCATCAGACCTTCGCCTTATCGACTCAGGCAGTGAGTTTATCCTCACCTTAAACTCATCGTACTCTCTCTTCACTCTCCTTCTTTCCCTCACAAAATCTAGCCTCACTTTGTTCTTGAGAAAATTCCGTTTCTGCCCGAAATATGCCTCGGGATTCCTCGGTTCTATGTTGTGTTTCCTGCAAAAGGGCACCCAGGTCCTAGCAAAGCTAGCTGTTTCAGCTAAGGCCTCGAACGTAAGCAAAGCTCCACCATCGTCTGATAAGTAGCAGGCAAGTTTCTCGACAGGGTAATCGATGGCTAGGATCGATAAGATTGTGTTGGCAGTGACAAGGGGCGGTTCTTTCTCTGGATCTGCCGTGGAGACAAACACGTCAATACCTGGAAGATCAGACCTTCCTTTGGGATTCCTGAGGTTAGGGGACTCGAACCGTTCTTTCAGAACCGTTAGATCGGTGATTCTGTTAACCGGACAGAGTTTTGGAAGCTGGTCGAGCAGCCATGAGAAGGCAAACCAAATCTCACAGGTCGTTGACATTCCCCACAACCACATTGCCTCTCTGTTAGGGTGGCGAATCCTCCATGTGAGGAACAGACCGAGAGCTACCAGTCGCATAACGATGAGTAACCTGTACCGTTACCAGCAATAAAAATCAGAACTTTGAGCACCATATGATGATATGAAACATCAAGAGCTTAATGGAGCAAAGCTCAGATGCTATGAACTAATATAGATCCAGTAAACAGCTTTATAAGCCAAAAAGCATGAGCATTTGTCTTTCTTAAAAATCTTACAGAAAATTGAACGTTTTCGCAAGCTAACTTAGAAGAACTGAGCTAAGGCAAACCAATTCTAGAAACCTAACCTGTAAGGACTGAGAATTGCTGCAGAGACACTGACTTTTCTGGTTAGCGGTCTCTTACTTCTCTCCCCGAAATCTGGAGGCTGTTCATACCCATTTCCGTTAGCTCCCGACCCAACTCCGTATCCATCTTTAGGCCAAACAGCGTTTCCGTAGCCATAAGTCCCTTTGGTCTCAAACAACCACCTTGTGTGGTCGAAATCTGGAGGTTGGTTCTGCGCCTTGAATGACCTCACAAGGGAAAGCCTTTTGTCAAGCTTTGAATCCGGCATCTGAGGCAGTGGCTTTGCCTCATCTTCATCCTCCTCTTCTTCTTCATCATCATCTTCTTCATCATTGATGTCCTTGTAAGGCTCTTTACATCCGGGACAATGCCCTCCACCGCCTGTGATACAGTCTATGTAACAGTCTCTGCATATCTTGAAACCACACTCGCATCTCCCCTGAACTGCCTTCTCATCGCAACCCTTCATCCAGCAGACAAGACCCGGTTTCTTAACCGTGTTTGTCCGATCCATCAAGCAGTCAATGACATGCCCACGAGTCACCGAGTTGAACCCGCCCGTGAAAATCGTGCCCGAGATGAAGCTTCTGGTATGTATATTTCCCTTCTTCATCGCATCATCTTCATCTTCTTCAGGCATACTCTCCTGTGATGCAAAGACCGTCTGGTGATCAGGGGTCGGTGGTATATGAACGGTGTAGTTCACGAACTCGGAGCTCATATCAGCCGCCGGATCTTCCACAGACATCGAACAGTATCTTCCTCCACCACTGGATCTCCGGTTTCCGCCGCTAAGGGAGGTACGTCGTGGGCCTCTGGAACTGAGAGGAGAATTGGGGTTGTTGGAGGCAGAGGCGCGTGGGATGGGGCTGGTCAAGCCGATGCTTCTGTCGCCGGTCCCTTTGCCTCCCGGCGTGACCATTATAGTCACTGGAGAAGAAGACGGAGAAGAACATGCTGCTTTCACCATTTTTGGTTCACTCTAACTGTGAACCCTTTGATCTACGAGAGTCAAGCAACAAAAAGCTTGGGGAAAACGGAATCAAACAGAAACCCGGTTACAAATCAGAGATTTTGAAGAAAGAATGGTGAAACAAGGAGAAAAGAGGAAGAAGAAGATGAAGCCCTGGCTTCTTTGGAGCAGAGCATTTGAATTTGAATACTTCGAGAGAATAGCGAAAAGGACGAAAGATAAAGGGGAACGGGCAGCTGAAACGGTCGACAGATCTGGACCGTTGATTGATCACGCCTTAAGGATGAGATCGGACAGTGGCGGTTCAACCTAAACGGTAAGTTCACGTGGGGCCCATAGAGATCTAAAGAAAGTCAAAAAGCCGGAAAGAGGGGCTTTTAACTCCCCAACGGTCAAATAATTTATATTGACGATGTGCAAATATAATATAATATAATATGCCTCTTCAGTTCAGTTCAATAATTATGAACTCATTGGTATATAATATATAGGCATATATAATACATAAAATACTTGCTAATTATCATCATTTGAACACCAATTACTACTTTGTACGCTGATTACATAAAATACTTGCTAATTATCATCGTTCATTCTTTTCAACGGTTTTATTTCGGATTACTATTACCAAGACCCGATAGTAGACTAAGTTCCAAAAAAAAAAAATTCTATACACAACAGAACGCCTGCGAATTTAAATGTAAATTCCAAAAACTTACGGAATAGACATCCGGAAGAGATAAACAAAAAAGGGAACAAAAGTCTATCCTATACATCTATTTGAAAGAGAGGGTTCGGTTCGATTATACATGAATAGATCAGGCAAGATCATCCCTAATTAGAATATGATATGAGTTTCCAATGAAATATTTCTGGTATGATCAGAACAAAAGGCTCTTGAGGACTAAAAGGACAAGCATTATGAAGCAGAGTATAAGGAGTACCGTTGCACATTTCACCATTGCCCCCTCTCTTTGTGATCTCTCTGCCTGTTCTCGGCCGAGGGGGGAAAAACGTAAAAATGTATGAGTTAGGTTTTATGGGGAAACCTCGAAATCCCAACCCGGCAGACCAGACCATTAAAACATTAAACTGAAGCTGTTGGAGCACGACACAGGTAGAAAGTATCAGGTTTTATGAGCTTTCTTGTCAGAGAACAAACCTTTTGTAGCTGTTTATATCCTTCCTCGACGGATGAAGCGACAGTTTGGATATTATAGTCTATCCGATCAACTATTGTTCCCTGAAACAAGATCGAAAACTAGTCGTTTAGAGACCGACAGACAGTGTGCGTTAATGAAAATAAATATATGTAGCATCTATACAAGGGGAGATTGCCCGTATGGGGAAGCTCAAACCTGGTCTATCACAAGAGATGACAAGTCTTTCATTATTTGTGCAAGTTCATTTACTGACTCCACCACCTACCAGGAAAGATCGAGCTTATCACTATCAGAATGAAAATCTCAAGGAGATGGTTCGACAACAAAAATGGGACAGAAATGTCTCAAATTGGGCCCTGAATATGAGCCTGGTTCGGCCCATACACACACCATGCCACGAATTATATTTGATTTTAGTCGTATTTATGGCCGTTTAGAAATATAAAAATTTGTTGTAACAACAAGCCCGTCTAGCTCAGTTGGTAGAGCGCAAGGCTCTTAACCTTGTGGTCGTGGGTTCGAGCCCCACGGTGGGCGTTTCATCATTTTTTAATATTTAATTTAATTCAGACCCAGGCAACAATTTTCACTTTATTTTTGGTTTAGGATTTTATTTTATCATCTTTTTCTTGTTCAATTATTTCCAGAGGTTTCTTTCCCTTTCAGCTGAGAAATGATGGCCTGTTTTCATCTTGGTCATCTGGTGTTCATCAAAACCCTGCATTTGTCGAGACAAGTAATTTATCATCATGGTATGAAACTGAGGCACTTAACCATCACAATAGACAATACATGACGGTAATCATATTGTCAAGTGGGTTGATTATGCCCTGATAACACAGCAGATATTTCAAAAATTTCAGACTAAATCTCAATAAACACTTAGCATATCATTGGAAGGAGAACTGGTAAATGAGATTCATAACTTACCATCCCACCAAGTTCATCATCTTCATCCAGTCTTGACATCTTCCCATCTAGGTTAAACTCCAAATCTACTCCATCCTGACCCTATGACATGAGATGCCAAATAAAAGTATTAGGAGCATAAAGGTCAGCCAAGTAGAAATCACATTCAACCAAAAAATAATTCAGCCAAGTTTGGTCCATGCATGTCTCAGATTTCTTTCTTAAGTAGAAAAGGGAAAGGTTACCTCTTTCTGTTGTTGCAATCGTTTCAAATAAGTAGACTGTTTTCTTCGTAGCTCCATTGAGAGGTTCTGAAGATCTGTTGCAAGAGAACGCTGTCAAAAACAGTACGTGGAAGAGTAGGTCAAGTCCATTGGAGAATTCCTTTACAGTTAAAAGGCGAAAACTTAAACTTTGCGCTGTCTGTCAACTTAAACATAAATAACCCCAAATTACTTTACAGATTTTTCTCAGGGATATACTGTCACTAAGATGATCTAGCTGGTAGTCAGGATATTCTCATATGGGTCACTTAATCATACCTAACCCTACTTGGTTTTCTAATAGCACACTAAAAAGATGGACAAATGTTCTACTTCTTCAACAAGATATTCATGATAATTCCAATCCTACCTGAACATTTTTCCTGAGATTAGATTCCTCTGAAGGTCCACTGGTAGATAGTTTTCTCAATCTCATCTCTGACCTCCTAAACAGATCTGTGATTTCGTGAGTGAGCATCTCAACTGCACGCTGATCTTGTTTGCCATCTCCAAATGTAGGCATCAGAGCCTTGGAATGAGACTTTGCCAGTTCAGCCATTTTTGCTCGCACCTGCTGGATATTGACGGATATCTCCTCAGAATCATCCACCCAAGCTGGTGGTAGACCAATGGTAAAGGCATCACTACTGCAAAAAATCAAACACCCAACAACTAAACTAAGTGCTTTCCCCCTTTTTTCCTGTGTCAACTTCGATGGATATGAGCATTGTTATGTCCTAGCATCAATTAAGCAATATGCGGAAAGCAAAAACGTTTTGCAAGCCCCAATCCATCCCATAGCTAAATTCCTCGGGAAATTGTTCAAATCATATGGCGAATGGATTTCCGAATATTCTACGGCATAATCAGGCAAGAACCAATTCTCTGGAAAGTTCTAACGACAACAATTACCAAATGCAGTTTCATTGAAACATAACGAGCAAAAAGAACACAACTATATTTACGAGTTGCATTAACATTCCATCACCAGCATTGCCCCTCCAGCTTAAGTCATCGGCTTAGGGTTCCATAACTAAGATTTTGCGGATCAAGGTACTTAACTCGACCTTGCTAATGATAAAACCCAAAACTCGTCTCCTTTTATCTTTTTCTACGAATTCTCTCAGCTTTTCACAGCAATCAAACGGTAGTTTCATACGGAAACGGAAAGAACCCAGAATACCTCGAGGGGCCAGTATCATCAGTGCTGAGAGGAGCATATGAAGAGCGATTGGACCGAAGAAACGAACCATTGACCATCTCAATGACCGGACCTGTGGAAGAATCAGACGCCGATAAAGACAAAGGGGCACGAGCGCTCTTACACGCATCCCGGTGCTTCCGGTACATCGCTGTCCGATTCCTCGTTGCCATCGCGAAAATCAGTCTCAGCAGAATCGAATTTCGACGAAACACACAGAATTTTCCCAGAAAGTTGGGAATTTGTATAACAAGATCGGTTCCGGGGACAGATTTCAAGAACTCTGACGGAAAAAGCGAAGAATTTTCGCACGGACGGAGGAATGATGAAACTCAAGGAGATGGTTCGACAACAAAAATGGGACAGAAATGTCTCAAATTGGGCCCTGAATATGAGCCTGGTTCGGCCCATACACACACCATGCCACGAATTATATTTGATTTTAGTCGTATTTATGGCCGTTTAGAAATATAAAAATTTGTTGTAACAACAAGCCCGTCTAGCTCAGTTGGTAGAGCGCAAGGCTCTTAACCTTGTGGTCGTGGGTTCGAGCCCCACGGTGGGCGTTTCATCATTTTTTAATATTTAATTTAATTCAGACCCAGGCAACAATTTTCACTTTATTTTTGGTTTAGGATTTTATTTTATCATCTTTTTCTTGTTCAATTATTTCCAGAGGTTTATACATCGAGACGAATAAAACCCTAGCATCGTTTCCATTGTTTCTTTGTTCATCACCCCAAAGCCGAGCAAAACCCAAAGCATGGAGAATGATGGCATCAACCGTGATTCGGTGGGGGATTTTAAGGGCCTCCGAATTACTCAGCTAGACGATGACGATGACGAAGACTACGGAGGAGAAGCCGAAGCCGCACCGGAGCCGATAGCTATCGACGAAGTGGATGATGATGATGAAGACGAAGACGAAGACGAAGATGAGCCTGTGACTTTAGGTTTCGTTGAGAAGCCTAAGTGCAAGTGGTCGCTTCTCCGTCAGATGTTCCCTCACAAAGCTGGAGGTTTTCCGGTACTCCACTTGAAAGCTTTCAGTTTTCAAATTTCAGTCTTACTCTTCTCGTAATTGAGCCTACTTTTCTGCGTCGGTTCGGGTTTTTTTTTTAAGTTCTCGTTTTGATTATTTGTTTATGCGTTTAATTGGCGATGTAGGCGTGGTTGGACCCAATCAATTTACCGTCGGGGAGGTCAATTTTATGTGATATATGTGAAGAACCTCTGCATTTTGTACTTCAGGTTTGTTCGTAAAGTTTCGTTAATGCTTCTCTAGATCATGTTAATACTATTTTATTTGTTGTTTCAGATAAATTGTAAGTTGATCAACACAGTTTCAGTGCTTCTTGCTATGTTTTTTTTTTTTTTTTGGAAAATGCGAGATTGCTCTCTTCGTCATTCATATGGGTGATGAAGTTTGATTTCGTGTGGGTTTGGTTTTATTTGACTGGATTTGTCAGGTTTATGCTCCGATAATGGACAAGGAATCAGCTTTTCATCGGACATTATTTCTCTTCATGTGCCCATCTATGTCTTGTCTCCTTCGTGATCAGCATGAGCAATGGAAACGTGCACCCGAGAAGGCCAGACGGAGGTAAAATCTTTAATTGTGTGTTTTGTTTCTTCTTCTTCTTCTTCTTGGGCAGTTTCGATAACTGACATGTGTCTTCTGAAGCGTGAAGGTTTTTCGATGTCAATTGCCCTGTAATAATCCTTTCTATTCGAGTGAGCCCCCAAAGCATGATGGGAGTGATAAACCCTTGGGAGATGGAGGTATATCTTCACAAGAAGTATAATGTGTTGTTCTTAAGTTTCAGCGATCCCATCTCTCCTTAATCTTGACTCGTTTTGCTTTTTGAAGCTGCACTTTGTAGTTGGTGTGGTACATGGAAAGGAGATAAATCTTGTGGGAACTGTAAGAGGGCGAAATATTGTTCGCAGAAACACCAAGTGGGTATTACCTACTCTTTAAGGTCTCTCTTCTGTTAACGAAAACTGCTTAAATGCCTAAAAAGTCCCTTCGGTTATTTCCTATTTGCAGGCTTTGCATTGGCGTTCGGGTCACAAAAGCGAATGTCAACAGCTGAGCATTATTGTCGAGACATCTGACTCAAACTCTGTCAATAATGGCATTGCTCTGTCTCGATCACAGAAAGGTAAGCTGAGTAGTTTATTGTCTTTTTTATTTCTCAGAGATTTCTCTGTAAAATAAGGTAATCAATGGTATCACATCTCTGTGTATAGATACTGTCCGGTCATTTATGCAATTGTTTACAATCTGGATTTCTAATAGTCAGATGCATGCATGGTCTGTACTCTGTATGCACTAACTGGAGCATTTGTGATTCAATGTTCATCTGTTATTTTTTTTTTTTTGCAGTGGCATGTAAAAGTCTATGGCAAGAATATGAACTGGTAAATGTGGATGAATGTGAGTATGATACGGAGATGTCAGAGGATGATGAACTCTCTAAATCCCTGGTATCAAGGGGAGTAGTCGATGACAAGATGAAATCCCTGATGGATGATTTTGAGGTGTCGTTTATTGTCATTTAAACTGTAATTGTCGGTTCATTTGCTTGGATAAATCTTAAATGTGTTGTCATGTATTTCATGGTTCGGACAGGGTGATGCTGACAGGAAGAGTTGGGCGAGTTTCCAGGAGCGCATAGCCAAGGCCCCTGAACAAGTGCTAAGGTAGTATCAAAGAACACTTAGGATTCCTCCGATGATTTGCTGCATGCATTTGCATCTGGTCTCATATATTTACTCCAAATGAACAGATATTGTCGAAGTCCTAGCGCAAAGCCCCTTTGGCCTATGGCCAGTGGTCGGTTGTCAAAGGCTGACATTCCCAAATGTAGCTCCTGCAGTGGTACTCTATGCTTCGAATTCCAGGTACCAATATTACAGTCCATTCTTGGATAACCTTTTCCTGAGGCCACTTCTTGTGTTTGTCAAAATCGTTCCTTTTTCCTCTGGTTACTGTTTCTGCTTTGCCTGTCTTAGTGAACTGGTAAAAGACAGCAATTTTTAGCCGTGTCTGAATGTTTTGGCCAAACATTCTTCAGGTACTGCCACAGCTACTGTATTACTTTGGGGTGAAGAACGATGCTGACTCGCTTGACTGGGCGACTATTGCCGTACACACGTGCGAGAACTCGTGCGATTCCGGGGTCAGTTACAAGGAAGAATTCGCATGGGTGCAACTCTACAATCAAACAGCTTGAACTTCTACATTCAAACAGTTTTGTTCCCGTATCTGTAATAGAGGAGATAATTATGTACCAAACGTTGGACAAAGGAACTATACAACATTCTTTTGAACGTTTTGTCTGTCGCGTCCATTCTTGATTCCTAGGTTTTGGTTGTATCACAGGACTTGTTTCAGTGTCAAACTGGTTCCCAGATTCGTAATCATCCAGTAGGATTCAAACACGGAACTCGGGACGAAGAAGAACAACGTACGAGAACATGAAGAGATCTCGTCGAGTGCGACTCGATCGAACCATTTCCCGTCTCCCTCCCGGGACTGATATGGCGAAGACAGAAGCCATGAGGAAGAAGACATATTTTTAGTGAGATGAGATCCAATCATTATTAAATGGGCTTTTCGGTAAGCCCAATGTCGACCCATTTGTGTTTCACGCGTGAAAGAAAAAGGAATTATCGCCAAACGCGTAAAAATGAATAAGCTTTTGATGCATGGCCTATCTTGCATTTGGTAAACTCCCCCGTACATCACTCTCGAAACACAAAACCATCCCATACACCAACGTATATCACAAAGGCGGTGAACTAAAATTAGCTCTTAACAAACCTCTTTTATTTAAATCTTCTCTTTAACAACCATGATCAAATTCCAAATTCGAAATTAAACCCCCCCCCCCCCAAAAAAAAAATATGAAACCGGCCGTAGGGATCCTATTCTCGTCCGTCCTCCTCTTCGCGGCAGCGACGGCCAAGTCTCCGCCGCCGAAGTTCGCGGAGAAAGGCGAAGCACTGGTCACGAAGCTATGCGAGACCTCAGAGGACAAAGGGTTCTGCTTCACGACCCTGGGATCGCGGCCGGACGCGGACACGGCCACGGCGCCGGAGCTCGGAGTGATCGCGCTGAGCATAGCGTCGGCGAACGCGTCGGACACGTCGGCGTACATAAAGGCGAAGCTGAAGACGAAGAACCTGGAGCCGGCGCTGGAGGACACGCTCGACGACTGCTCGAAGAATTACTTGGACGCGGTGGCTCAGCTCGACGACTCGCTCGCGGCTCTGCTGGCTAACCAGTACACCGACGTGGACATATGGCTCAACACCGCCATTAGCGACGGCGAGTCGTGCGAAAGCGCCTTGGCCGAACGCGACGGCAGCGATGGCGAGCTCGAGCTTCGCAACACCAATTTCTTGAAGCTATGCAGAAACGCTCTCCTCATCAATAACATTTTGACTCCATGATCTGTATTTTTTTAATTTATTTATATATATATATTTATATATGTAATCTCTATATCTCTCTCTCTCATTGTTAATCTTCTATTTATATAGTATACGAGTACATGAAATGTAATGTAATGTAATTGACTTTCCAAAAAAATCGTCGAATATGAAATTTTGACCGACAGGACCATGATTCTGCTTCTCACAAATTAATTATGTGGCTATAGGGGCAACAATATCCTTTTCAAAAATCATGTAGTTGTATCACAACATTTTGGTGCATTTCTTGTACAACATGTTTGATATGTTCATATATGTGTAGTATATATGTATACGTGTGAACTATAATTAAATTAATTGAAGCTGAATATAAAAACAATTGGAAAAAAAATAATTGTAATAAAAACAAAAGTAAATTTAAGCTAAAATACGATACTAAATGATTGCATAGGTGCATAAAATTCAATTTCAAAAAATGGAGATTCAAAGATTTGTAGATTAGGTTCATTTTCCATCTATGGTACTTAGGCTTTGATCTTTCAGTTTTGATGTAAATTATTTAATTTATTTTTGCAAAATTTAGGTTGTGTGTGTTTAACCCGAGTGGAAAAATATCTTCCATTTTTTTTCTTCTATCGGACGGCTATTTGTGTGGCTAGGCTCCGCTCTCTCTCGTTGCTGTGTGCGTCTCTCTCTCTCTATGTTATCTCTTCTCCATCTCACCACCAATTTGAATTTCATTTCGTGTTCTGCGATAAAATAGTCTTCGTCTACGGGGGCTTCGAAATCCGGCGATTCGATCCGTCATTTCGCTGAAAATGGTGATTCGATTCGATGCGATTCTTTTCATCCATTAGCAATGGCTTCCGCTTCTTCCATGTCCGGTGCGCACCTCCTTCTTCTATCTTTGTCTTTGATTTTTTTTTTTTTGCTTTTTTGTTATCTATTTCCTGTTTGCTACTGATGAAAAGTAGAGGACGGTGTTCGAGGAAGCTTTTACTGTGTGGATGATTGTTTAATTGTTTCTTTCTCGTATCGAGTTCGCGCGCGGATCTGAAACTCACCTACTGAGCTTGCTCGGAGCCGTGATTTTTCTCCGCCACCGCGTAATTTTCTCTTTCTGTCTGGATTCCGATAAATTTAGGAAATAAATCTGAGTTCATATTATTAATTTTACAAGTTAGTTTAGTTCTTGTCCTGCCAGTCGCCTACTGCACTTGCGATGAATTGCCTTACGAGGAGAGAGTGGGTATGTTCCACTTCGGTGGTGCTATTATCGGGTGCCATGGAAACGTAGAAAAATTAAATTAGTTCGATTAGCTTAATCCATAGACTATTGATTCCGTTCGGTGAGTTAGTTCGTATGCCAACTGAAAACAACCTACTCTTCTGGACTGTGGTTTCCTTATTGGTGAGTCGAAGTTAGTTTAGTTCCAGTCTAAACTTTAACCTTCTTGAATCTTGATCCATGTGACCATGTCTCCTTTTCAAGTTTGCTTTAACCTTTATGTTAGGTTTATTGAACTATTATGTGGAATATTGCAGTGTCTGTGGAATGCGTGAGCATATGTAATCTAACAAAAGGAGATGGCAATGCAAGAAGCGATTGCAATGCGCTCTCTTGTGCTTGGAAAGCTCCCAGAGCATTGACTGGGTTTCTAGCGAGCACTGCTCATTCACCTCCGTGTTCTTTATATTCACACGGTAGATATGGAAGAAGGAATAGAATAGAATCAGTAAGTATATTTTCTAGATCTAGACTTTGTTTCAGTCGAGGAACAACGAGACTTTTTATCCTTTTTTTTAGTGGGATAGTTTAGGCTCAGCGGATTGTTATTACTTTCTGTATGATAGCTTTGATCTTTTTTCCATGTGGCATTTATCTGCTACCTACTTTTAAGGGTTCTAATAATCGCACCTCTGGATAATATAGTGTGTTTGGCAGAGATATGAACTCGAAGTAGGATTATATGAAGCTTCTCAGTTTGTAATTGTGAGAAAACTCGTGAAATCAAGATTTTCTCTTGTCGGCCATAGAAGATGGCGACTGTGTTGCTTACCATCTGAATCTTCTGGTGGCTTTGATGATGTCACTGTTGAGACATTGTGGGAGGTACTATACACTGCTTTTTTGGTGCCTGTGGATAGCACTGTATACCCTCCATTTCTAATACATGATCTCTGCTGCAGGACCTTCTTCCATCAATATCTTACCTTTCTCACAAAGAACTAGAATATGTTCAAAAGGCTCTTAAGGTATAAGCCTCATTAACATTCCAAAGGTTTCTTGTGGCTGTATCCTTGTCTCATTAACATATACATTATTGGAGTATATTTCAGTTCCCTAGTAAGTGTACTTAATGCAGTAAAATCCGGTTAGTGCAGCTAGCTTTTGAGGCACATCATGGTCAAAAGAGACGTAGTGGAGAACCCTTCATCATCCATCCAGTAGCGGTTGCTCGTATCCTTGGGGAACATGTGAGTTTTCATGATGCACTGAATATGGATTTGTATTAGAGTAAGGTGCAAATTTGGCTTGATAAGTTACTGGCATATCCGTTTAGGAATTGGATTGCGAGTCTATCATTGCCGGATTACTACATGACACAGTCGAAGATACAAATGTCGTAACTTTTGAGAAAATAGAGGAAGAGTTTGGTGCAACCGTGCGACACATTGTAGAAGGAGAGACCAAGGTCTGGTTTTATTTGTCTGCAACAATCCTTCTTCTCCCATTCCTCGAAACTTGTGTTAAATAAATAGACTTCCACATACCCTTCGCTAAAGGTGTCGTTATCTAATCTTTTCCCTTAGGTGTCAAAACTGGGAAAGTTGAAGTGCAAAACTCAAAGTGAGTCAATACAAGATGTTAAAGCAGATGACTTGCGGCAGATGTTTTTGGCAATGACAGATGAGGTTGTAATATGCAGATTCTGCATCTCATTTTCTCTTTGTGTATGCTATGTAAGTTTCATAAATCTTAACTGCTACTTTTCAGGTTAGGGTCATCATTGTCAAGCTGGCTGATCGGTTACATAACATGCGGACTCTTTGCCACATGCCTCCGCATAAACAGGTGATTGTTTAAAAAGTTCGAGATTTGTTGCCATACAGGCTAGGAGCTCTATTGTCCATTGGGCGATAATTAATGATTTTATGAGTTTCATTCAGTCCAGCATTGCAGGGGAGACATTACAGGTCTTTGCTCCTCTAGCAAAGTTACTTGGAATGTATCGAATAAAGGTATAATCCTTTACCTCCCAAGTCCCAAGAGACATACTTGGTATTTGTGTTTGCTTGCTATGGTTGTATAAATTGTATTTAAATGGCGTGATGTGATATTAGTTCCTAGTTTATTTGACATGCCCATCAATGTTGAGTTGATTTTTCTGCTGATGATTTTACAGTCTGAATTGGAGAACCTGGCTTTCATGTACATAAATGCTGAGGATTACGACAGGATCACAAGAAGAGTTGCCAACCTCTACAAAGAGCACGAGAAAGAACTTACTGAGGTTATTCCACTTTTTTTTACTGGATTTAGCAAATAATCAATATACTGATTGAAGGAAAAATAGATATTGGAAAAGGATGCTGGGTGCCATCTTGCATGCATTAGGACTTGCCAAACTGTGAATTCGGAGCTGGGTATTTATTTGGTCCATGTGCATTCACAAAGTCCTATTTATGTCAGGCAAACGGAATTTTGGTGAAGAAGATTGAAGATGATCAGTTTTTGGACCTTGTGACTGTAAAAACTGATGTTCGATCTATTTGCAAGGAGACTTACAGGTGAGCCATTCAGTGACTTCTATTCTTGTCTTTTACCTTCTCTTTCCTCAAGTATCTAAAGTTTCTTCTTTTTACTTCTAGCATATATAAAACAGCACTCAAATCTAAAGGATCGATCAATGACTACAACCAGATTGCTCAGGTGTGTTTTGCCCTCCATCTCATAGCTACACTAGAGCTTTTGAATATAGAACCTTGTCCTGTTGATTCGATATACATATGCTCATCAACATGATGCTTCTCCCTGTTTGTTTATTCTTAGCAGTTACGGATTGTCATAAAACCAAAAACATGTGGTGAGGTTGGACCTTTGTGCAGTCCACAGCAGGTGAATCCTCAATGAAAATAAAGTGGATATCTTTTGTGCCAATTAGTTTGGTGTCTCACTTAGCTTTTTGACCGTTTCATCACTGCAGATATGCTATCATGTTCTTGGGCTAGTTCATGAAATATGGAAGCCTATTCCCCGAACTGTGTGTAACTGATCTTTTCTTCTTCAAGGTTATGTTTTCAATACACGACATTCTAAACATTGCTCACGTCTACTTATGTAGGTGAAAGACTACATTGCAACCCCAAAGCCTAATGGCTACCAGAGTCTCCATACCACTGTGATCCCATTCTTGTATGAGAGCATGTTTCGGCTGGAAGTACAGGTATCTAGATATATTCTTTCATCCTGACTCCTGAGTACATCAACGTCAAGTGCGATTTGAATTTGGTTTTTTAACCTTTTTAGTTTAAGCAACCCACAACCAGTGAAGAAAAGAGGATTTTTAAGATGCTGATTTCATCCATCTTCCACTGACTTATAAACTGTTATTCAAATTCCTTTGTCATCTGCAGATACGAACAGAGGAGATGGACTTGATAGCTGAGAGGGGCATTGCTGCTTACTACAGTGGCAAAGCTTTTGTAGCTGGACTAGTGGGAAATTCAATTTCTATGTGTAGAAGTTCGAGGGGGAAGACAATTTCTCTTAACAACACAAACTTTGCTCTTCGGGTATCTCTCTCACTACACAAGGAGTAAAATACATGTAATAGTAGGACTAGTGCAGTGATGTTCTCGAGCCTTCTAAATCAAAAATCTTAGTTAAGATGGTTTATATTCTCTAGGTTGGCTGGCTCAATGCAATAAGGGAATGGCAAGAGGAGTTTGTGGGTAATATGAGCTCTAGAGAATTTGTGGATACTGTTACTCGAGATCTTTTAGGCAGTCGTGTTTTTGTATTCACGCCCAAAGGAGAGGTAAGAACTAAGTTCAGTTGTTTTGTAGAGCCTCTGAATTATTCGTCTCGGAAATTCCATGCTTGGTTATTCCATTCCATTTGCAGATAAAGAACTTGCCTAAAGGGGCAACTGTAGTTGACTATGCTTATATGATTCACACAGAAATTGGGAATAAGATGGTAGCTGCAAAGGTATCTTTCGTGTACCTGCAACGTCTGAGAACTTTTTATATATTATTTGAGAAATAAGAATAAGAACTATTCCAAAATTTTAGGACATGTCTTTACTCAAATTGCAGGTCAATGGTAATCTTGTTTCCCCAACACATGTTCTCGAGAATGCAGAAGTCGTGGAGATAATCACATACAATGTTAGTATCATTTTCTCCTTTGTTCATTGTTTGTAATTTCTTCTCTTCTCGTTTCCTATCTAAATTTCAAGGTAAACATTACTGATCAGTTACATGTCTTCTTTATCCCATATTCTCATGATATGTTGCCCGGGAGTTTATAGCACCAGCCGATGTCTGATCAAATTTGACTTCCTTTACTATGCTTTGATGCATGATCATGTTGCCTTTATTCCACAAGTCTCATGTGGTTCTTGTCACATCACAGGCCCTCTCGAGCAAATCTGCTTTCCAGCGGCATAAGCAGTGGTTGCAACATGCCAAAACTCGGAGTGCAAGACACAAGATTATGAGGGTATGTCTTAGGTTTGTTTAATCCTTTGCTCTCGTTTCTATTTGACTAGTTCATTTAATTATTCTTCTCTACTAATTGATTCTTCAACTTGTTTCAGTTCTTAAGGGAGCAAGCTGCGTTATGTGCTGCTGATATAACACGGGACCGGGTGAATGACTTTGTTATGGATTCTGACTGTGGTGCGGAAGACCTTCCGGATAGTTCCAGAAAGACTCTGCCATGGTGGGAGAAGATCCTCATGAATGTTAAGCAGCTCCAGCCACAAGACAGAAGTGGAAACTCACCACCTTCTCAAAATGGAAGCATTTGGGCCCCAGAGGTGAACGGAAAACACAACAAGAGCATCAAACGTTCAACCTTGCAGGAATTAGAATTCTTCCCATCAGGAAATGGATCTGCCAATATGTTTCCTGCTAATATGCCAACGTATAAGGAAGTCTTGCCTGGTTTAGACAGTTGGCGAGCCAGTAAAATTGCGTCATGGCATCATCTCGAAGGTCACTCCATTGATTGGTTTTGTGTTGTTTGCATGGATCGCAAAGGTCCGTTCTAAAATTTCTTTCCCAAATTCCCCCCCCCCCCCCCCCCAACCAATCTCTCTCTCTCTACCACGGTCATAAGAAAGCTGGAATTTGTATGTTACAGGCATTATCGCGGAGGTTACAACAGTCCTGGCAGCTGAAGGCATTGCCGTGTGTTCATGCGTGGTGGGTATTTCACGTTCAAACTTTTGCTGCTATCCATTTGCTAAGGCACTCATCATATGTTTTTGTGTATGGAATAGGCTGAGATCGACAGAGGAAGAGGACTTGCAGTGATGTTATTTCAAGTAGAAGCAAGCATCGAAAGTTTGGTAATACCACTCCAGTGGTTTCGTAAACCCTAATTATATCTACTCGATCACATCTATCTGATGGCTAACTCTCGAATCCATCATGCATGACAGGTTTTTGCTTGCTCAAAGGTGGATTTAATACTCGGGGTACTGGGATGGTCCACGGGTTGTAGCTGGCCAAAATCAACAGATGGCACTCGAATTCTCGAGTGTTGAGGCTCATGAGGGCTCGGTGTCCCCAGAGCATGAAGTTTTGTCTCTGTCACTGGAAAAACTGAGAGTCTGGTGCTCTTTGAGTACAGGTCGCGCTGTTAGTTAGCTCTATGGTTTCTCAAAAAATCATCTGCTGAATGAAAAAGGCGGCAAAAGAAATAAAAACCAAAACGGAAATGAGTCAATTTTGAGCGTATGTTCAATCCAGGTCCATTGTATATACAGTCCAAAAGAGAAACAGAGCATGGACTAAACATATATACATATATATATATATATATGTGTGTGTATCCTTGTAAAGATACTTGAACAGAGAAGGTAGGTATTTACAAAAGGGTAAATAATATCATTCAAAGTAATGTCTCCGTTCCCTTGGCACTGAAGATTTTGTAGGTAATATTGATTTTATCATTGGACTGTTCTCACTTCTCTCTTCATTTCGGTGTTTTATAGATCCAAAATGAGACTTGGGCAAATCCATCGGTCTTCTGAGATTCGCTTTCACCTATATGCTGGTGTTGACGTAAAATGAACGTCAGATTCCTTTTTGTCACGTGCCAATTACAAGGAATTCCATACAAAACCCGATGGAAGAGAACGCACGCAGAACAAAACACATCACAACAAATGGGAAAAGGAAAAGGAAAATCCCTCTTTCGTTAGGACAAACGTTTAAACAGAGCAGAACACATCAATAGAAGGTGGGTTCGGAGGTGAAGAAGAAGGGTTTGAGCCAATAGAGCTTGAGACCTTTGTCGGCGACGAAGCGGAAGGAGTGGAGAGACTGTCCGCGAATTCCTTTGTTCTCGTCCGTAGGGAAATCGCATGCATGTACGGGCGAACTGTGTAGGAACCCTTTGCACTTCGTCACGTACCTTCCCATGGGAAGCTGCGACGGATGCAACGATGCGTAGAAGTAACCCTTTGCGTCCGAGGGATTGCTCAATATCGAGATCGGAGCTATCTCCTTTCCCTTATCGTCCGTCTTCACGCACGTTATCCTCGCCTTTGCTCCTGCCGTACCACCACAAAAACTCACTCATCATCTTTCTTCTACTTCCATCATGTGATCATAATTCTTGTGTTTTGGATGTACGGCCAAAGAAATACTATCATATTTTACCAAAATATTCAGTTCTATATCAAATCCTTTTGTTTTTGTTCTAAAAGCGTATATATATATCCATGATCAGATCTATGCGAAAAAGAACGTACCTTGAATCGGGTAAGTTTTGTCGCCGGACTTGCACATGATCATCCCTTCGACGGCGATGGGAATCAACGTTCCGGTTTCTGGGTTTGCATCGTTGCCGTAATCAGCCACAGAGGCTATGATCATCGACGAGAAAACGATCAAAGAGGCAGCAAATGAGAAGCTTCGGACAGCCATTGTGGTACAGAAGCCAAGTGAATAATTATTATATTTGTTTGATTACCACAAGAACCCTAACCACTTCATTTATATAGGCGAAATGTGTTGAAACCGCCTCAGTCTTAGTTTCAATATTAATTAATTCAATTATGTGAAGACATGACACAAGGAACTTGTTCTAGGACATGTGCGCACGACACAAGACCGGCTTTGTCCGACGTGATTCGCATTACGTATTGTTGCGGTTCACTATTCAACGACAAAGCACGGCCGACCTTTAAAACAAAATAATTTATGGAGATGTAATCTCTGGTTTATCATAAACCGATTTTATTATTTCCGGTTAAGAAGAATTGGTTTACTCATTTTGACTGTACCGGATTGTTGAAAGAGCATTGTATATATCAAGTAGTATAACTGATTAAACGTCTGGAATATATGGAAATTAAAACCAGAGAGAGAGATGAAAAACAAATTTGTTATATTATATAAATGAATTGAATTGTGATAAAATCACCGACATCCATCTAAAAATCATCGCATGGTAAAAATCAAGTGGAGTAGAGGTTAATTTCAAGGAGGGCACACAGGAAAGCTAAGGTGGCCACCGAAGATGATCTTGGCATTGTTGCAGATAGCCCCCACGATGGATGCGCCGGCCTTCCCTCCTATGGGCTTGCCTGTGTACGCAATGTCTATGTCCACCACGTTTATCCCTTTGCATGGAACCGCCGTGCTGCATACGAACTGTATCACGTCCTTTGTGACCGATGTCCCTCTTATGTTCTTGAATAAAACGTTGCTTATCTCCACTTTCGATGGCTACACCCAAACAAATTTCCGTGTTAAAAAGGATATACGTAAAAGATGATGTAAACTAATGCATGCATGCATGCATGCTCTCACGTACCCCTCCTCTTGAGCCGTATTCTTGATCGATGATGATTGGGTTCTTGACGTTATTCATGATGATGTCCTCGAATGTAATGTCGGTGGCCTTGCTCGCGTCTGACCCTCCCCAAGTCTTGATCCTCGCTCCATTGTCGGTACCGTTCAAGGTGCAGTTTCTTACGGTGATGCCGCTGACGTCTTCCTCGCCTTTGTACTTTCCGAGGCTGCCGACGCTGAAACCGTGACCTGGACCGCAGACCACGCGTTCCACGGTCACGTCGTTGGAGCCACGGCCAACGGAGACACAGTCGTCTCCTGTCCCGATGTAGCTGTCGAGGATCTTGACGGAGTCGGCGTTGCTGAGGTGGACTCCGTCCGTGTTGGGGCTATCGTCCGGTGCTATCAGTTTGACGTTGTGGATGGTTGTGTTGGTTGTCTTGACCAGGAACATGTGGAAGGCCTTGCTGTTTAACGATGTGATGCCTTGTACCTCAGTGTTGCTCATTTCCCTGAACTTTAGCGTCTGCAATCCCAAGAAAAAAGCCAAAACCCTAATCAGTTAATCATGTATATATTCCGACAAGACATGATGATGGTCCATGGATGGCGGTAAGGAGTTATTGAGATGGATGCTGACAGTGGGTGGGAGCTTGCAGTTGCCGCCCTTGTTGCAAGCATGGTCCCTCCAAGCGACCTCTCCACTTCCGTCGAAAGTGCCATCTCCTCTGAGTACGAGGTTGTCCACTCGCTCGAACAAGATCCACTCTTGCGTGGCGAAACCCTGCACGCCTGGTGTGGCTTTCACCGTTCCTTGAACCTCCACCGTCACTTGGCTCATGCATGGTCCGGCGAACACCATCGGTCCCGACACAAACGTTCCCTTTGGTACCACTAGCTTTGCTGGCACGGCGCTCTGACATGCCTTGATCCATGCGTTCAAAAATGCCTGCATGCCCATCCACCAAAAAAAAAACAATAAAAAAAATCTCCCGGTTCGATTAACACACAAACAAGGGATTCACCACTCAAAGCTCGAATGAATAATAGATTTAATATTATTGTCCTGACCTTGAAATTGTTGGTCTTGCCGTCCCCGACAGCACCGTACTGAGTAATGTCAAAAACGGCAGGGTTTCCGGCGGCGGCTAGGGCACGACGGCCGCCGAGGTATTCACCATTGGCCACACAAGAGTCCAACACCAAGGCTATCATTACAATTGCTAACCCTACTTCACTTGCCTTGGCTACCAAGCTTCTTGCGCTAGCCATGGTGATTTTTTTATTTACTTTTTTATTTAAATTAAAAAAAAATATTACTATTGAGGAAGAAAGCAGCATGAACTCTTCTTCAGATTTTCTGATGCTTATATAGGTTTCGTTGACGAGCTAATCTCGGCATTGTCTCGTTTGGAAAATCTGGCTTTGTGATTCCGTCTTGTTTTTCGGACATTGTATGTACAAACATGGCATTTTCAATAAATACTAAATTAGGGTTTTGTTAGTTTAATTACTATGTGACCATCAACTCGTAACCAAATAATCTAAATTTGGAATCTCAAATTAATGAGAGGCCATTTCAAGATTGCTATTAAACAAGATGGACTGGAGAGAGAAGATCATATGTTCAATCATCTATATATATATATATATATATATATATGTGTGGGAATAAATATGTATAAATGTAGTCAAACTATTTGGTATCAATTTTAGTTTTTTTTTTGAAGGATTAATTTTTTAGTTGCTTTCTCTTATTAGAAAAATTCGTTTTTATAAAAGTCTTCAACTGTTTTAAAATTAGCAAGAATATCTAACTGTTTTCGGAGACTGGATTTCAATTGAATATGCAAGAAAATTAGCCACAAATTCTTGAAACTCGGGTGTTACAATTTATTAAAAGATCCAATCTTTTTGGACAGATTACGTCAATTTTTCATCAAATTCTTATTATATACTTTAATAATGTATCCTGAAAAGAGTTTTACCAAAAAAATGTACGCTGAAAAGAGATTAAAAAAAAGTTTTTTTGGAACAACTTAGCATGAAAACAGAGCGTCG